TCCTCTGGTGGCTACCTTGGTTTCTGTTATGCCCTAACACCTACACTTCTGTCTCCTCCTTCTCTCAAGAACAGAATTACGCACATTACGTTATATGAGCACAACAGCACTGTACTCCATGTAGGTTTCCTCACCCCTCCGCCTTCCAGCCCGTTAACTGCACTTGTAAGATGATTAACACTTGCATTCTACTCTGTAATCATAATTAATTCTTCCCTGGTTTGCCTAAGGATTGATCCTAAATGCTGAAAAACCAATATTTACATTATTATAATTATTTAAATACTGTTGACTGAAGAACAAAGATTTATGTTATGATTAGATTTTCTCACCTTTTTTCTTTAAAGCCTTGATCCACGTGACAGTGTTTAAACGAATTCCTTTTCTCACACTCAGCAGTGTTCAAAATCACGCCACATCTGACACTGCTTCATATTTAAAGCATGTTTTCTTTCAAAGTTCAAAATGTTGCCTTTTCCTTTAAGTTTCTTTGTCATTGTTTTTGGAGTGGAGGGGGGTGAAGAAATATGTCTGCTTTCTATGAATCGCACTGTGTCCTTAATTTCCTCTAGCTTCTTACTCAATCCGTGCATAACTCAAAACTCACTTCACACTTCCAGTTCTAGTTTGGGAGACCTGCCTCCTGAAGTTCCTAGTTAGATTCCTTTCTCTTACTTTGTAAATGCACTCTGCACCCTTTTTCATTTTGTAAAATCCATGTTTATTTTGTTTATGGATATACTAGTTGTTTACATATTTCTGAGAATTTTAACACTTTCTTGATTTGTATGTGTTCAATAATCAAACTTTCATTTGAGACCAGCAGTTAGCGTAATGGCTATGTTGCTGGACTCCCATGTAGTGGACCGCGGTTCAAGTCTTGAACCCGGTGGCTTAAACTCTCTCTGGGCGCGTGTGCGTGCGTGCTCAAGATTCCGAGAGGAGAATGGAGGAGAAGGGATTGCAGCGTGGCCATCCCCCTGGGGGGTGACTTCTCACTTTCTGTCTCTCTGTCTCTCTGTTTCTGGTGAGTGCACGCATCCTATAGCAAAAACCTCTCCCCAAAATAATAATAATAATAATGAAACTTTCATTTTATCTTTTTTTTTTTTTAGTCACATTGCAGGCTTTTGGCAAGTGAGACTTTTTAACCAGGCTAAGACTGGCCCTACAAAGGGTAGCTTGGTCCCAGATGGGTGAGCCAATGGTAGGAAGCAGCAATCCCGCTAGACCCCAGATGACACAGACTAGCAGTGGCCCTAAATGTGTATGTGCAGACAGATCTTGAACATCAAATTAGGGGAAGTTTGTGGTCAGCCACGAGGCCATGGGGAAGAAGGCAAGCAGTGAAGGGTCCTTCCCCGACCCGCACTGCTGAAATGACTGATCTAAAGTAACTATCGTTTGCTCTCACTCTCAATATTGGGTGCATTTTCTTCATATCAGGAATCGATCATGTATTTCTTGTTAACTTGTTATGGCCTATTTATTTGTACTCTATGACTACAAAGTCTATCATGTTCACTGTTACATCTACAATGCACACATACCAATAACTATTTCCTGAAAAAGGAATGAATGCCTACATAATCCTCAGAACCAATTCCATTAGCAAATCTCACTTCTATTATAATAAATGAAAATTAAAATTAGCCCAACAGATGTATATAATATTCTAATGATACACAAGGGGACTTCAAAAAGTTTGTGGAAACATGGAATTAAAGTGTAAGTTTATTTTGAGAGAAAAGTAATTTGAATCTAAGCACAGATTACTTGTAATCTACATTTCCATGAACTTTTTAAACAACCCCTTGCACCTTGGGTAATTAATTCACATAATCAAAACGTGCAAAATCCTACCTGGCTTTATTTTTACCCTCCTGTACACCCATACACAACACATATACATACACACACTTATATATGCACACAAACTCAAGTATATAACTGCATTGTTCAGAATGCATTGTTTACTCTTTAAGATTCACAGATGAAACCATCTCAATTTATTTGATCAACAGCAAAATCCTTGCCTACTGACTGCAAACCTCAAGGGTGAGTAAACCTGCCACACACACACACACACACAGTCAGCGGCACAGAACCAGGTGTGTGACTCAGTCCTCCTGTCTCCTGACTTGAAAAAAAACCACATTTTCCTGGAAGTGGTACAGCGAAATCTACTGCTCACCAAAGTCGGTTCTAGTCTTTGCCCACCTGATAGAAATCAACATTCCCCAGAATTCAATGCAAAGAGGAGGGACAAGAAAGCACCCCCCCACACCACCCCTTATGGGGAATGGCCATGTCATAATCCCTTCTCATCCATTTCTCACTCCTTTGGGGATTTGGGACAAGTATGCATCCATGCCTAATGTGTTTTTCAAGCTGCTGGGTCCAGGACTTGAATTGCACAGCTGGCCATGTGGGATCCGGCTCACATAACTAGTAGGCCACAGGCTGGCCCAAGTCAATTTTTCTTTCTGAAAGCTGTAATGGCTATGTTGCTGGACTCCCATGTAGTGGACCGCGGTTCAAGTCTTGAACCCGGTGGCTTAAACTCTCTCTGGGCGCGTGTGCGTGCGTGCTCAAGATTCCGAGAGGAGAATGGAGGAGAAGGGATTGCAGCGTGGCCATCCCCCTGGGGGGTGACTTCTCACTTTCTGTCTCTCTGTCTCTCTGTTTCTGGTGAGTGCACGCATCCTATAGCAAAAACCTCTCCCCAAAATAATAATAATAATAATGAAACTTTCATTTTATCTTTTTTTTTTTTTAGTCACATTGCAGGCTTTTGGCAAGTGAGACTTTTTAACCAGGCTAAGACTGGCCCTACAAAGGGTAGCTTGGTCCCAGATGGGTGAGCCAATGGTAGGAAGCAGCAATCCCGCTAGACCCCAGATGACACAGACTAGCAGTGGCCCTAAATGTGTATGTGCAGACAGATCTTGAACATCAAATTAGGGGAAGTTTGTGGTCAGCCACGAGGCCATGGGGAAGAAGGCAAGCAGTGAAGGGTCCTTCCCCGACCCGCACTGCTGAAATGACTGATCTAAAGTAACTATCGTTTGCTCTCACTCTCAATATTGGGTGCATTTTCTTCATATCAGGAATCGATCATGTATTTCTTGTTAACTTGTTATGGCCTATTTATTTGTACTCTATGACTACAAAGTCTATCATGTTCACTGTTACATCTACAATGCACACATACCAATAACTATTTCCTGAAAAAGGAATGAATGCCTACATAATCCTCAGAACCAATTCCATTAGCAAATCTCACTTCTATTATAATAAATGAAAATTAAAATTAGCCCAACAGATGTATATAATATTCTAATGATACACAAGGGGACTTCAAAAAGTTTGTGGAAACATGGAATTAAAGTGTAAGTTTATTTTGAGAGAAAAGTAATTTGAATCTAAGCACAGATTACTTGTAATCTACATTTCCATGAACTTTTTAAACAACCCCTTGCACCTTGGGTAATTAATTCACATAATCAAAACGTGCAAAATCCTACCTGGCTTTATTTTTACCCTCCTGTACACCCATACACAACACATATACATACACACACTTATATATGCACACAAACTCAAGTATATAACTGCATTGTTCAGAATGCATTGTTTACTCTTTAAGATTCACAGATGAAACCATCTCAATTTATTTGATCAACAGCAAAATCCTTGCCTACTGACTGCAAACCTCAAGGGTGAGTAAACCTGCCACACACACACACACACACAGTCAGCGGCACAGAACCAGGTGTGTGACTCAGTCCTCCTGTCTCCTGACTTGAAAAAAAACCACATTTTCCTGGAAGTGGTACAGCGAAATCTACTGCTCACCAAAGTCGGTTCTAGTCTTTGCCCACCTGATAGAAATCAACATTCCCCAGAATTCAATGCAAAGAGGAGGGACAAGAAAGCACCCCCCCACACCACCCCTTATGGGGAATGGCCATGTCATAATCCCTTCTCATCCATTTCTCACTCCTTTGGGGATTTGGGACAAGTATGCATCCATGCCTAATGTGTTTTTCAAGCTGCTGGGTCCAGGACTTGAATTGCACAGCTGGCCATGTGGGATCCGGCTCACATAACTAGTAGGCCACAGGCTGGCCCAAGTCAATTTTTCTTTCTGAAAGCTACAACAGTACATGCAACTTCTCAGTTAACCAAGTCAAGAGCCAGGGAGTCATATTCTTCCCTTTTCCTTACTGTCACATCTTCCTAGTCAATCAGTCAACTCTGTTGAATTCATCTCCTTAATATTTCTCTCATATCTCTCCATCCCCCCATCCCTTCCAGCCATTCAAGGGTAATACTTGGCTCACTATTTAACAAAAGTAAAAGAAAAAAGATTCCAATTTGGAGTTTGTACTAACATACACAGAAAGACAAAGTTTAGGTGCAGCAGTCGGGCAATGATCTGCGATGTTGGAACCATGTGGAAGACCAGGGGTTCAGATCCCAAGTTAATTGGAAATACTCAGGACAAGTACAGATGCACGTCCATGATCCCAGCTGGCTAAAAGGCTGTGTATGAGGGACGAAGAGGGCCAATGTGTAATGAGACCCTGCTGAAGGTCCACCCCTATCCACCCCTACCTCATAAAGAACTAAAATAAAATAACTTAAAAATTAAAAAAAGCCAGGGGAGCAGCAGATGCTGGAGTAGTTATGTCACTGCACTCATACATGGCCAGTTCTACTCCCAGAAAATGATGCCAGGCATGTGTGCATGCATGCTCAAGATCCCAGGAGGAACAGGAAGAAGGGATTGTGGTATGGCCATCCCTCCCAGGGGGGGTGATTTCTCACTTTCCCTTTCACCGTCTCTGACTCTCTCTCTCTCTCTCTGGCAAGCACATGCGCCTTAAGGCAGAAACCTCTTGAAAAAAAAAGACAATAAGTAAACTAATCTATTCCATTAAGAACAAATTCAGTGAAAAATTCTTCAAGTTAATAACAAAATGTAAGGGACTTACTTAAATGGTGTAAACAAAAATGGTAAAGTAGCTTCTTTCTTCTGAGTCATTTTCACCTGGAAAAAAATTATGAAAACATATTATAAATGAGAAAAAAAAAACTTCACATTGAGATATCAACTTCAGGGACAGTTAATTACTTTAAAAATAAATTGAATTTTGTGTTACTCTGTTTCACAAATATTTAAAGAAAAGCTTAACATTACCTTATTGCTCTACTTAGGTGAGATTGAAGCCTATCCAGTCTACAAAATAACATTCTTTAATGTATTAAAACTGGACTTTCTTAACTCTTTAAAAACAACATAAGCCAGGACCAGTGTGGAGGGCCATGTATTAGATCTTGCACATGAACAACGTTTGGCCATCTTGTTCCCTTACCCTAACATGGCTGTCTGCTTCTGTAAATGTGCTTGCTCTTTCCATGAGAAAATAGCTTGTGCTGGCCATACAGAAAACCGTGTCTGGGACGACATCCTGTAACTGCTACTGTCTTTGCTAACTAGCCCAAACCCTTTTGTTTAGCAATGGAACGGCTTGCATGGAAACCCCACTCCCCTCAGAAATAATTAACCTGCTTGATTGAGCTTCTGTAACTGCTTGCATAGAAACCCCTGGTAACTGACCCCCTATAAAAAGACTACTCACGCCCGGCGTGTGTGCTTGTGTGCCCAAGATCCCAAGATTTCTTGGGGGAGATTTCTTGCTTTCTGCCTCTCTGTCTCTCTCTGTCTGTCTGGTGAGCGCACGCGCCCTATAACAAAAACCCTCTCCAAAAAAATAAAATAAAATAAAAAGACTACTCAAACTTTGGTCGGGGCTACAGTTCTGACTCAGTTCCCCCCTCCCCAACCCCGAGCCTCAGGCTATAGTCGCTGGCCGGCTAATAAAGACTCCCTTTAAACTTAATCTGGCTCTGGTGGTCATTCATTCAGTGGTGCTCTACAACACCAGCAGATGGAGTAATGGTCATGTCACTGGACTTCCGTGTAGTTGACCACATTTGAGTCCCAGACCCAGTGGCTTAAAAACTCATACCATGCACATGTGCCTGCATGTCCAAGATCCCGAGAGGAGAAAGAATTGTGGCATGGCCATTCTTCCTGCGGGGAGGGGTGGGGGGAGCGATTTCTCGCTTTCTATCTTGCTCCTGTGAGTATAAGTGCCCTATATCAAAAATCTCTAAAAAAATGTTTTAAAAAATAAGCCAAACTGCTTTTCTTAACAGTGTTTAGACAATAAAGTTTTAATTTCAAATTCTTAACGCATCTAAAGAATGTACAATGAGATGATAAATGCTGTGATCTCTAATTATATGAAGGTACCACAAAAAGTTCATGGAAAATGGAATCTAAGTATTAATTTATTCTGGTGTCAAAATTCAGAAATCCATGCAGTTTTGTCATAATATGCATTCTTCCCAAACTTTCTGAAGAGCCTCTTGTATTTCCATGGGACGAATGCAAGATGAAAAAGACGACTTGTAGTCTTTATAAGCTTACAAGTAGAAATATCTCTCAAAGGCCATTCCAGGGAACCAGCAGTTAGCGTAATGGCTATGTCGCTGGACTCCTACGTAGTCGACCGCGGTTCGTGTTCCGGACCTGGTGGCTTAAAAAACTCACGCCGGGCGCATGTGCGTGCGTGCCCAAGATCCCGAGAGGAGAATGGAGGAGAAGGGATTGCGGCGTGACCATCCCCCCTGGGGGGTGATTTCTCGCTTTCTATCTCTATGTCTCTCTCTCTGTCTGTCTGGCGAGCGCACGCGCCCCACAGTGAAAATCTCTCCAAAAAAAAAAAAAAAAAAGGCCATTCCAGACACTCAAACTGACTCATGAGGTGCACTTTATGACACTAGTCAAATACCCAAAATTTAACCACCATCAGTTATAGAAAATCACTTATTAAAACAAAAAGTCAAATATTTTTACCTAATATACTCAACTTAAAAATTATAGTAATATCCATCTCTGTGTGTGTGTCCTTTTTTTTCTTTACCTTGAACTGTTCAAGAATCTGTACTGCATTAGTGAACATGCTCTCTGCTTTGAAGAGATCAGTGTTGTTCAGATAATCCACAGGAAGGATTCCCTGCAAATAACAAGCAGTGGCTTAGTATTACAGTAACAAAGCTCAGGCTGTTCTAATAAAACACAACCCATTTCAAAGGGAAGCAAGAGGGGCCAGACAGTGCCCAGCAGTGTCACGCGATGCTCTATGAGGCTGACCCACGTGACGGGAGGTTTACTTCCGAAGGCATCCTGAGTACATCGGGCACCTGCACACCCACCGTTGAGGGCTGGCTACAAGTGAGGGTGGGTCAGAGCATCAGGACCTTCCTGGGGATGCTGTCTCTCTCTTAACCAGCAAGAGAAATAACTAAATACACATTTTAAAAGTGTAGAGGGAACAATAAAGATAAGGTTATGGGCAAGTCAACAACTGCAATCGTTATATGAAGAATCTTCTTTTAAACTTTATTTACTATTACTATTATTTTAATTTGTTATAAGGCATATGTGCTCTCCAAAGACAGACAGAAACAGAGAAAGAGGGGTGGGGAGAGGAAGGGAAAATGAGAAAGTAAGGCCACCAGGTACAGGATTCGAACCATGGTCAGAGGTGGGAGTCCCATGGCTTAACCACCATGCCACCTGCTGGCCCCCATAAGGAATCTTTTCAAAAACTATACCTGAATGATATCCTATGATTTTTTTCCCCACAAAATAGATGTAAATAAAGTTAATAAAGAAAAAGAGATAAAATGCAATAAAACTTCACATTGATGAAGACAGTACTAATATGCTAAGCTGTGAACTAGGTGCTTTACACACACATCACCGTTGTAAGGCCACAGCAGCCTAGTATTAAAAAAAAAAAAAAAAGCAGTAGCAACAAAGTAAGACAATGAGAGTATTTACACATTAAGAGTCAGGGGTATTCTGTGAAACTTTTATTTTGGTTATACAAATATAAATACCACTGTCAAGGTCATATTACTCAGAGTTCTGAGTTAGATGCATTTTTAAAAAAAAACAAGTTTGATTTAAAGAATAAGGGCCAGTCGGTGGTGTGGCTATTAAGGTGGCTGGATCCCACATGGCTGACTGGGCAGTTCAAACCTTACACCTAGTGGCTTAAAAACATGCCAGACATGTATGTGCATGCCCAAAATCCCAAGAGGAGGATGAAAAAGAAGAGACTGTGGTGTGGCTATCCCCCCTAAGAGGGGTCCTTCTCACTTTTCCTCTTTCTCTGCCTTTCTTTCTGATAACTGTATGTGCCCAATAGCAAAATTTCAAATAAATAAATGAAAGCTAAGGGCCAGCAGGTGGCATAAAGGTTAGGGAGACTGACGCTCACGACAGCAGCACATACACTAAAACTGGAATGATACAGAGAAGGTTAGCATGGCCCCTACGTAAGGTTAGAGAGGCTGAATACCACATAGCAAACAATATGGATTAAGTCCTAGACCCAGTGACCTGAAGATCAAGCCAGGCTGTGTGCATGCAGGCCCAAAAGCCAGACAGGAGAATTGGGAAGGGATTACAGTGTGGCCATTCCCCACTAGGAGGCAATTTCTCACTTTCCCTCTCTCTGTCTCTCTTTAGTGACCATATATGCCCTATAGCAAAAACTAAAAAAAAAATTAATAAAAATAATAAACCTAATAAAAGTGACTTGTTGAAATGGATATTTTTTGCTCAGCTGGTTTTTGGTTTTTCAGCATTCCAGATTATTCTCAATAGCTTTATCACTTTCTGCTGAGAAATCCTCTCCATTGCATATAACATGATGGGTTTTTAATCAGGGGCTAGGCCCTTCTTACTAAAGAGCAGATAAATAACTCAGGCTAGACCATCTGAAATCTGACTCACAAGAATCAAGAGACAGAAACTGAAATAATTTGGTGCCCTGAGAGGGACAGCTGTGCCTGACTGTGGTTATAGCTCTTTGAGTCTACAGAACTCTCGTGGTTCCTTGTCATTTCCAAGACTGGTTTCCAAACACCTGTTTGAGTCAGCAAACCAATATCTTTTCAATAGTTGTTCTTTAAACAATTCCATTTCTATTGCTTACAATCAAAAAGTTATTGGGACCAGCAAATGGCATAATTATTATGTTGCTGGACTCCAACATAGTCAACTGTAGTTCGAGTCCCAGACTTGGAGGCTTAAAAACTCATGCCAGGCACATGTGCATGCATGCCCAAAATCCCAAAAGGAGAACGGAGGAGAAGGAATTGCAGCATGGCCATCCCCCTGAGAGGTGATTTCTCACTTTCTGACTCTCTGTGTCTCTCCAGCAATCACATGCACCTTATAGCAAAAAATCTCTCAAAAAAAAAAGAAAAGAAAAAGAAAGAAAGAAAAAAGTTACCTATATGGGACCAGTAAATGGTGTAATGGTTACATCTCTGGACTCACGTATACTTGACTATGGTTTGATTCTCAGACCCAGTGGTTTAAAACTCACACCAGGCATGTGTGTATGCATTCCCAAATTCCTAAGAGAAGGGACGAGATAGGACTGTGGCAAGGCCATCCCCTGGAGGGGGTGGAGCATAATTTCTTACTTTCTGTCTCTCTCTCTGGCGAGCTCATGCACCCTATAGCAAAAGTCTCTCTCAAAAAAAAAGTTATCTATAAATTTTTTTATTCTTTTTATTATTATTATTATTTATTTAATTCCATTCGTTATTATTTTATAATTTGATCAGAGAGAGAGACTGAGAAAGGGAAAGTGAGAAAGCAGGCTGCCAGGTCCTGTACTCGAACCACGGTTGGCCATGTGGAAAGCCAGAGACATTAACTACCACGACACCTGCCAGCTGCTCTCTATACATTTTTATCACTCACAACTAGAAGACAAAGATATAAATTATATACATTTCATAAAATAAAAATTTGGGACAAGCAGGTGATGAAGTGGTTAAGGCACTGTACTCCACATGGTCAACTGTGGTTCTGAGTCAGACCCAGGGTCTTGAAAGTCACACCGTATGTCTGTGTGTGTGTGTGTGTGTGTGTGTGTGTGTGTGTGTGCCCAAAATCCCAATAGGAGAATGAAGGAGAAGAGATTGTGGAGTGGCCATCCTCCGGAGGGAGGGAGGATGATTTCTCACTTTCTGTCTCTCCAGTGAACGCATATGCCCTATAGCAAAAATCTCAAAACTAAGAAAAAAAAAAGAAAGAAAAGAAAAAACGTTAAAGAAAAGCTACCTAGATTGTTCTCCCTGTAACAGATCATAATACATGTGCAATTATGAGGTACTGAGTATTTAGAAAGAAATATATAGTTGCAAATGTAATAAAAGATTATATGGAAACACATAAAAAAGGGTAAGTTTTATTGTGCAATATTTTATACTGAGAGTTGATAATAAAATTTTATTCCTTACCACTGAATTAAGGGGAAAAGGGACTCCAATCAGGGAAGCCATCAATGGTGCAATATCGGCCTACAAAGAGAAAATATCCAATTCTAAGACTACAGAGGTTAATAAAGAAATTGTATAATCCAATCTAACTATATTTTGAAATATAGTCATGATATTATTATAATCAATTACCTTCAAACATTTATTTAATATATACAAGATATTAATCTGTAAAAATATCATTTGCTAAAAGTGTACAAACTAATGAAAAAAATAAATTTGAAAAGAAACTATTAAGAATCCTAAATACAAAGCATATGAAAAAATTACTTATCCAGGACCAGCAGATGACGTAATGGTTATGTCTCTTGGCTTCCACGTAGACAACCGCAGTTCAAGTCCTGCACCCGGTGGCTTAAAAACTCATATGGGGTGCATGTGCGTGCATTCCACAAAATCCCAAGAGGAGAATGGAGGAGAAGGAACTGTGACATGGCTATCCCCTCCAGGGCGAGTGATTTCTCACTTTCTCTCTCTGGTGAACGCACATGCCCTACAGCAAAAAATCTCTCAAAAAATTTACTTACCAATTAGCTAAGAACTTGACCATTTTATACAATAATTTTTCAATATTATGAAAAAGGAAATTAGACAAAAAATGAATAGCAGTAGACTTTAACTAGAAAAATGAATAGTATAGTAATGAAAAACAGTGAACTTTAAGAGAGAAAGAAACCAGAAAAGAGGCTTTTAAGTCAAAGAACCCCAAATATCATTGTAGATATTTGCCCTTTAAGTCCAATTTCTCTGAGTCTTAGAAGACATTATGGCTCCATTTTCTGATATCCCCTCACTTATCAGCCCTCCATAACTGGCTTTGACCCCTTATCACTCCCTATGGGAACTAATGACCTCCACTTTTCTAATTCTAATTGAATGGGCTTAAATAGGTCTTATAATGTTTTTAGTCAGTAGGGTGCTTAGAAGTCAGAATGCTCAGTTTCAAATCCTGGTTTGCAAGCTCTGAGACCTTGGACAGACTATTTAACCTCTCAATTTCCTTATCTATTAAAAAATAAATAAAAATTTTCCTTGCAGAGGATTAAACGAGATAAAAGTGTGTGGCCCACAGTAAGCCTGCAATAAGCGGTAGCTCCAGCTGTTGCTGTTGTCATTACTACCGTTAGACCTCCCTAGACCTCCCGGCAGCACTGTGTAGACCACTCTTCTCTCGGCCTCTGTGAACACCACACTTGGTTACATTTCTTCACACTTACTGGCTGCTCCTTTCCAGATACCTTTTCTAGTCCCTCATTTAAATGGCATTCATGGAGTTTGAGCCCCGGCTCTCAATAATTTTCAACTATTACTATTTGAACTATCTTTACCACGGAACATCTCCCAGATAACTTGAAAACTCCAAAGTCCTCCTAATCACGTTTCCCATTCTCCCAGAATCTATCGTTGGCCTCCTCAAATCTGTTCTCCACACTGCAGTCAGTGGAATCCTTTCATACACACAAAAAAGTGGATCATGGGAGCCCATGATGACCCAGGCTGACCCACAGGGGAAGATACCAGGTTTGTGTCCAGAGACTTCTTTAAGTATTCTGGGCTTTGCATGCCCAGGATGTGGGGCTGGATGAAGCCAGGGGTGGATCACAGCATCAGGACTAACCCTGTTAGGGATTCATTTATTCATTCTCTCTCTCTCCTGGAAGAAATAAACTTTGTAAAAAATGTTCACTAGGAGTAATTTCTCTCTGTCTCACTTACACATGCAAGAAATAAACTTCAAAAAAATTTGGATGATGACACTGTTCAGGCTTCGAACACTGCAAGGACTCCCTGAGCTTTGAGTATTAAGTCCACAAGGCCCATAAAGCCTGCAGGGTCCACGTGTCCCTACTTCTGCCTCCCCCAACAACACAGTCTCTGTGGTTCTATCAGCATTCTTCAGGATGTTTTAATACACACAGACACTCTCACCAGAGCTCCAAACACATGTTGCTCCTCAACCCAGAAAGTCCTCTCACTGCCTTGGCCTGGTAATTCCTGTCTCTTCTTAAATCTCTGCTCGTTCCTCAGCTTCTCAGGAAATCTTTGCCAACCACACAGTCTTTGAGATTCAGCCTGTCTCTGCTCCCATGGCTTAACAGCCTCCTTTACAGGACTTGCCGCAGCTATAATCTTACTTTTGTTTGTACAGCAGTTTGACAGTAACTGCCTCGTCCCCGCCGTATAAGCCTCCTAGCTAATAGCTGCGTTTGCTTTTACTCAGCATTACACCCCTACAAGCTGCAGAGTTTCTGCCCAGGGCACACACGTAACAGGGCTGATGGAAGGAATGAGTCAATAGAGACTCCCGCCCAATGCAGTTCGAAAGGAGGAGTATTTGCCAGTAGACTCACAATTCGGAGAGCTATAGGCAAATCTATGTTCAATTTCTGATTATGATCTAGTCTGGCTATTGAGTAAAAAAATCTAGGTTACGGCCTTCAAGACATTTCAGTGCCCCCCCCCCCCCCCCTCCCGCCGAAAGAAAGAAAGAAAGAAAGAAAGAAAGAAAGAAAGAAAGAAAGAAAGAAAGAAAGAAAAACAGTGAAGGGGACCAGCAGTTAGTGTAATGGCTGGACAGACTCCCATGTAGTCGATCATGGTTCGAGTCCTGGACCCGGTGACTTAAACTCACGCCAGGTGCATGTGCGTGTGTACCCAAGATCCTGAGAGGAGAATGGAAGAGAAGAGATTGCCTCATGGCCCCCAAGGGGGTGATTTCTCGCTTTCTGTCTCTGTCTTTCTGGCAAGCACACGCGCTCTATAGCAAAAAACTCTCCAGAAAAAAAGAAAAAAGAAAAGACATTCCTGTCCCTTTGAGAGTAATTTTTTATTACAAATTAATAAATTGCTATTCGTATTTTACACATTTTGGTTTATTTGAGTAATATGCACCCTTCCTGAGAGAAGAAACCATTCTTACAGTGCTGAGATGAACCAGATTTCTGCAACACAGATCTGAAAAGTAAGACCTTTGGTTTGTCCACCATAGTAAGGAATGTCAGTTCGTGCAGTGATCTGCAAGGCAAGATACTCCGCAGTCACTTTAGAAGCCACATTCCAATCGTGCCATGCCGTCCACAAAGATGCCCATGTAAGTAGCACACCTTCAACAATGGCAACTTCCGTGCTTCATACTTGCAGACAGTGCTACTAGCTTAATTTTATTAGGTTGGCCACAGATTTTTTTCTACCAATTCTGACTAAGGAGTTTATACTCTTGACATTTTTTAACACTGTATTTATAAAGCTATTAGTTAGCATTAAAGATAAAATGATTTTTAAAAAGAATTATTTTGTTTTTTATTTATTCATTCATTTATTTCATTTTTTTATTTTGACCAGAGAGGGACAGAGTAAGAGAGAAGGAGAGAGTGGGAATGTGAGAGAGCAAGCCTCCAGGTCCAGGACTTGAACCATGGTAGGCCATGTGGGAGTCCAGCGTCCTTAACCACCACTCCACCTGCTGGCCCCCAAAATGATTTTTAATAAAATAAGAAATGGTGATTGACATTCAGAAAAGAAGTATATGCCAAGAGTTTTACTAGATCTGTGCTTAAGTAAAATATGCCATCATGACAGAAATCAGATATCCAACAGACACACAAATTTCAATCTACATAGCAACTAATTACCAGTGTTATTTGGAGGAAGTCTTCTTTTATTTTCACCAGGTAATTTTTTTAAGAGTTTGCATAAGAAGGACAGCATGAGCCAAAATATTTGCACTATACATATTTTCCTTTATACCTAAAATGGCTTAGAAAATCCTGTTGGTATTATCATGAATATACCTAATTTTTTTTAGAGGTTTTGCAATAGGGCACGTGCACTTGCCAGAAAGAAAGAGAGAGAGGGGACCAGCAGTTAGAGTAATGGCTATGTCGCTGGACTCCCATGTAGTCGACCGCAGTTGACGTCCCGGACCCAGTGGCTTAAAACTCATGCCGGGCGCATGTGCATGCGTGCCCAAG